GAGAAACCCTTCCAGTTGAAACAAATCTTGTTTTTCTATCTCAACAATTGAAGATGTGCAATCTATTATAATAAGAAGGATGACGATAATTATAGAAATTATGATAATTATAGCTACAAAGACTAACTTAAAATTTTCTTTCAAAATATTGGATTTAAAATTTGATTGGGGGCTCAAGTTTTGTGGGTATTTTTGACTTTATGGTCAATTCTATGGATACTTTGGGCATTATTTTTTATGGTGCCATTTTTAGTGCTCATAGGCATTTCCTCATTATTCTACAACAAAATGATGCTCTCTTTCCTCTCCTAGTGATGCCTTTTCAGTTGGTTGAAGAGACTGTGGTTTCCATTTGAGCTTGAAAGTCAATGGGTATAAGTGAGCCAAATGATAATAATTTGAGGAAAAAGATTTTTTAGATCTATTGGTCGTGAGATAGAACTCTCAGCTTATTTCTCTTTTGTTAGACTGAGACCTTGTTTACTTATCATCCAAATGATAAAGAATAAAAAATCAATTGATGTTGCTTACTAAAATTGATTGAAATTGAAATAGAAATTAGATGTATAGCAGTTAGGTTACTAGAATACACATTTCTATTTTTAGCTAATTACAAATATATTAACTAAAAATGTAATAATATTATTTTTAATTAAAACAATAATAAATTTTAACTTATTTTATTATTSTTTTGATGATAGTAAATACTTTTATTATAATAATTTATTTAATATCAACAAATGACAAATAATTAAAATAAAACTACATCAACTAAAAAGGAAATAATATAGTTGTTACTAAAACAACCATCATAAAATATCAATAACTTTATTGTTATAATATTTAATCACAATAAATTCTATTTTAAAAATTTTATTGATATTAACTAATAATAATTAAATTAGATTAAATAATTGATATTAAATATATTTTATAATATTTCATAATAAAATCACCTCAACTAGTAAAAGTTATAGAATTTTTTTATTAGAAAGAAATTATTAGTAGTAAAAAATAAACAAATAAATAGTAAAACTGTAAAACACTTTACTGAAAAGTCACGTGTTTCATTAATAAATTTGAGAGATGATAAAATTTGTAAAGTGTATTAGTGATT